TGGGTTTCACCAAGGATCCAGTACAGTGCTACCTTAGAATCAGTCCAACAGGTTGGATCATCAAGCTTTAGGGTTTCGTTCAGAGCACTTGTAACGGTTGAAATAAGTCTTGCTAGTATGACTGCTGAGAGAAGTTCTAATCTTAGAATGGTTTGTTTGTTAATTGGAGAGACTCTTGTTTTGGCAATAACAAATCTTATAAACGTTCCCAATGAGGTAGTCATTTTCAGATAAACAACAGCTCCATAGGCTTTAAGGGATGCGTCGCAAAATCCTTGGAGGCTGTAAGAAAGAACCTTTTCTTCGATTCCCGCTTGATAACATCTCGGTATCAGGGTCGATTCTATATTTTCCAGGTCTAGGATAAGATGCTCCCACTTCTTCTTTAGTTCGCTTGATAATTATTCGTCCCATTCAACTTTAGATTGGCATAGCTCCTGAAAAAACATCTTTAATTTGACTGTTATGGGTGCGAGAACTCCCAACGGGTCATAGAAACGGGATATGATACCAATGACATTTCGCTTCGTAGGCTCAAGTTCTCGAGCTGCTTGCACAATTCGCTGAAAATTGAAGATGAATGTGTCATTTACATAGTTCCACCGAATTCCCAGGATCTTCTCTTCCCTTTCCAACGGTAATTCTTGGGGATTACCCACTGTTGACTTGCAATATGACTTATCCTCTGTACAGACATCGTTGACCACATCTGTCGTTGACTGACCGATGGTAGGGTTTTCTTCATTTTGCCGTATTCTTTGCATTAGGGTAGGAGAATTAGATAGAAACTTGCGAAGATTGAATCCGCCTTCACTTAGTCGTTGTTTTGATTTAATATACAGTTCATAGGCTGCGTTGTCATCCTTGGCTCCAGAACTTAAATCATCCACGTAAATGCCACTCAGAAACTTCTGTACAAACTCCGGGTCTTCTTCCTGATATTTCTCAATGTGATGTTTGATTGTCCCATTCAACAAAAATGGACTGGCCGTCACCCCGAATACTACACGCGTAAATCGATATATCATAATCTTAGGGTCATCCTTAGTAATATCGTCAACCCAGAGAAATCTCAAGACGTCTCGATCTTCCTTTGCAATGGCAATCATCAAAAACGCTTTTTCAATGTCTCCGACCAATGCTGTTGGATGACACCTGAATCTCAGCAAAATGTCTACAATATTCTCAGCAAGTGATGGGCCAGAGTATAGGCAATCATTAAGAGAGGGGCCCTCGAATTTCGCAGAAGCATCGTAGACTATCCGCAATTTTGTTGTTGTCTTGTCGAGACGGATGATAGCATGGTGTGGTAAGTAATGGACACGACTTGCATTGGTGGTGGATGTTTCATCAACTCTTTCTATGATTCCTCTAGCTATCTGCTCCTGAATAAGGTTGTCGTATTCCTTCAGGGTTTTAGGATCTTGTCGGATTCTAGTCTCCTTAGACTAAGCTGGTAGTCATCTGGTATGGCGACTTGGTTATCTTTCCATGGTAGGTGAACTTCATATCGACCATCTCGGTGTTTCACAGTACTTAGAAACTCTTCGTAAAGAGAATGCTCGTCAGGACTGATACCAAGTGATTCCAATTCCCAAAAACGTTTGAGGTTAGTTTCAATTGTTGCTTCTGGGGAAGGGGTGAGTTGGGTAGAACATCGTAACACATGGGTAGATGCAATGTTGACATTGGAATGAGAATCGGGTGGTGCCCCTTTCACTGGACCAGACAAAACCCAGCCGAGCTTGGTATGCATTGCTGTAGGACCATCGTTTCCATGGATTACATGACCGGTGACCAACTGCCAATAATAATCGCTTCCAATCAGTATATCCAAATCGAATTCTTCTCCATCGTTTGCTGAGTCAGCAAGAGTTAACCCAGAAAGATGTTCATAGGATTGTTGGGCAAATTTTGTATTTTGGTTTCCGATTGTGAAGCATATCAATGGAACAACATAAGCCGATAGGTTTAACTTATGTCCTCTCTCGGTGTCCAACTGAAATTGAACCATATCACAGGAGGTAATATCTTCATCCTTAGAACCAAAGGCATTAATCTTGAGGGTATCTCGTCTTACTATAGGGAGATTCAGCTTGTCTCTTATTGTGGAAGTTATGCATGATCTTTGGCTTCCACTGTCAAATATAAGTCTTGCCTGCAACGTCTTACTAGGATCCTTCTTAGGTTTATACGGTGGCTTAGATGGGGGATCCCTTGAACTGCCGGGTAAGAGACTTGCCCTCTCTCGAGCCTCCAGTTCCCTTTTAAAGATTTTGATCAGTTCATCTAGATCCCAATCTTCTTTGAGCTGCTTTGTAACTTCTAAACGCAGCTCTTTAGGCAACTTATCAATTAAAATAGGTGTTAACAGACTACCATATGAACCAGAGTCAACTTCAAGTGATTTCAATCCCCTCATATGGCTCTCTACTTTATCATGTAATTGCCTGAGAGCCTTTAAATCATCTACATTAGTCACCTTGGGCAGGTTTAATAAAGCATTCATGTGGGCATTGACAATTTGTTGCTGATTACCAAATCTTTTGTCTAAGATATCTATTGCCTCTTGGTAGTTTGCTGAAGTTATTTTTAAACCCGATATTGCTTCAGCAGCAGATTTTTCCAACAGACTATGCAAATAATTGAATTTATCTATACCGGAAAAATTAGGATTTTCATGAATGGAAGAAGAATATGAATCCCAAAATGTAGTCCACTCCATTATGTTCCCATTAAAATGTTTTAGTTCTAATTTTGGTAATCTTACCGTACTGTTAGATGTGGGTGGTACTGTTGCTTGCGACAGAGAACTTTCCAGATTCGATGGTGAAGATCCACTGTCTTTATTCCATTTTTTCTTCAGTTTTTCCAAAATTAAATCAATGTGAACAATTGCCCTTTGAATAGCTTGACGTATGTCATCAGCACTGGCAACCTCATCCTCAATATTTCCGTCCTCAACCAACAGAATAATCTTGTCGTCAAAACTCTTTAGAAGTGGTAATTTCTCGCCCAAAATCACACGTTGTTGGGTAAGTTTTATTTCAAAGTCACTTGCCTGTGTTTCTTCAAATATTTCCGTAGATTGCGTTAAGAGTTCTTCTGTTACAGCTAATGTTTTCGTAAGACTGGCTCGATGGCCTCCGCGTATTTTTACTAATGTCTTCAATTCCTCAGCCATTATTCGTTGTATATCCGACTCCGAAGGACCATGTAAGAGAATTTAGGTTCAAAAGGCTCCAAATCGTTTATAATACTTATTTTATTAACATATATACAACAAATTCATGAGGAATATTTACGAAAACTATCATAATGGCGGCTGTTCAATTCATAACAACGTGTTTCTCGCACGCGTGGCTTCTCGCGTGTTCTCGCGAGCGCTACACTTAGATTCTAAGGTGAAAACATACAAAAATACGTCACATAAATAGATGAATTAACTCAATATTTACAAATACTATTGTATACATTCATGCATACAATGTAAAATTTGTAAACAAAACTTCTAGTTAATATCTATGCAAAGTAAACTATAAATTATGCACACATATGTCAATGAATATCAGACATCGTAGAAAGTGCAAGAAAACACATCGTACATTGTGAAAAATGACTTCAAATACCTCAGCAAAGAGACATTTTCATTCCGCCTATAGTTTTTCACTCCTACGACGATCGAAAAGGTGAAAAATTCGTAAAATATTGCAAACTAAGTGTGATGAACTCACTTTTCCAATACGCGTACTGACTTTGAAAGTTTTAAACACAAATTTAACCACACAATCCCTCTCTCGGGCAAATAAAAAGAGTTTATTTTCATGTTTGTTGTCTCAAAATAAAATTGTTGCCGCCATTTTGAAATTTAATGTCGGGGGGGTGACTGCCTCTAGTCACTTGCTAAGCTATGCGCAGTACGGCATGCGCAGTGACGAAGCCCTTACGCTTTTTTGACTGAAGTCGGACATCTGGTCCTCTTAATCTGTGCCCTTGTCAAATTGATGAGTCTCGGCAAGCAGCCGCCGATAATTGTGATTGGCTGAATTTACGTTGACGACAGTTTGATTGACATGTTACGCTAATGTATTCAAAAATTTAAAAATAAATACAGTAGAAACAAACGGCATCGCTATATTACAGTCGATTTCACGAAACTTTGCGACCACAAATGTTCCGAACTTCGTTGCGAAGTTCGCAAGTTCGTTGCGAAGTTCGTAAGCTCATATTGGAATTCACAAGCCAATTTGTAAACAAAGTCCCTGATTGGTCCGTGAAGTAAAAGAAGCCAATCAAATGCGTAGTTTACAAATTGGCTTGTGAATCTCATTATGAACTTTTGAACTTCGCAACAATCTTGTGAACTTCGCAACAATCTTGTGAACTTCGCAACGAAGTTCGGAAAATTTGTGGTCAAAGTTTCGTGAAATCGACTGTACAATTGTAAACCTGTCGGCTAAAATATAAAATTGATTCAAAAGACAAAATGTAAAATGTATAACATATACCGGTATCTAAACAGAATAAGGCAAGCCACGCTGCTATTACTGCATATGTCGTATGATTCTACCGTATGGTCACTATAGTATAGAGTATAAAACCTTGGCTGTCCGTGCCTTGTTTATATTTTGCTGGCTGGCAAACTACGATTATATAAAACAATACATTCCCCATTGTGTTTAGTAATACACCATAATAATACGAAGCTCTCTTTGGAGCTTTTAAAATACATTTGCCTGCCAACGGGTATAACACGAGAAGGGGTCTATTTAAACTTTTCCTAAGTCATTATATTTAATACTGCAATATTAATAACATGTATATAACAGCCATACAGGTGCAAAGCATAATATAATTTTGAACGGTCTTCGTCTACTACTAATTTCCAGACAAAATCGAAGGGCCTTCGCTCGAAATGCCGACGTTTTGTTTGTATTTCCAGGCAGTAAAATCGCTATCCATCTATTCCATAGTGGAAAGTTCGTCCTCGCTTCTGCAGGAGATTACCGCTGCGGAAGACGTAGGCTACCGCAACCGCAGTTAAACTGAAGTCATCAAGGTACCGCAACTGTCTACTATACAGACTGGTTTCCAGTCGACCCTGCCGCGCTTCTAGTCTCTATAAAGCCTCTATGATGAGCTTAATGTGATGTCGTGATTTATATAAAGTGCGTCGGTTAACGCATCGTTTGATTAAAAATACGATTGAGACATTGACTGATATGCTCACCATGCAGGTTTATAAACTTAAACAGAAAAAAGACTATATATGGCAACGTTTGCAGACGTATCTTAAGTGACTATATACAGTATGGTTAATATATTAACCAGTTTCTTAAACATTTTCTAGTCTTGATAAGTACAGTACTATATGTACATTTGAAAGAATCTACCCGTAAGCGATCAACTACAAATATATATATATATACAAAACAACATTTAGTCTTTACAGAAGAAACGGCAAGCGAACTCCTTCGGTGGTCTTCTTAGTCATGACTTTACTCAAATCTTTTCCCGGGCCATAGGTAGCTCTGTAGCTCAAGATTGGCCAGCGATGCTTGGGTAGATTGTGACTTTTGTCGCCATCATGATATAGTTGTGCAATTCCAGTTACAAGTTTATCAGCTTTAATTACGGTTGGCATTAACCAATCAATTTTTGTTCTAAATTTGGCAATAAGAACATTTACTAATTTGACAAAAATCACAATTTTGGACATTTGACAAGATAGAACTAAATGTTGAAGAGTGGTATGGAGATACTTTAGACTTTAGACCTTATACCAAGAGCAGTTGCATTAACTGCTTACTAGAACATACATGCATGCAGAAACCCTTGCCTTGCTGACAAAACCATTCTATTTTCCGAACATGAAGTATCTGAAGTAGTTGTTATGGTAACACGATAATTTTTAAGAATATTCTCACAAATGAAAAATCGCCTAAAAAATATCACTTTTAATTACAAAATTATTAATTTCCCAACATATATATGTTGGGTTTGTTATTATCAGGGGCGGATCTAGGATTTTTCGCACGTTAGTCAAAATTTTATGACGTCATCGATGACGCAAAACGTCATGACGTCATTTGACATGACGTCTTTTGATGTCAGGATGATAGTCCAATTCTTGTGGAAGTATAGACATTAGATATTTTGTTTTATCAAACTCCAAATGCGTAAATGACATAATTTTCGTACCTGCCAATGTTCAGCATATGATATATTAATATATAGACTGTTTCGCCCTACAGTGTATACCTTGGCTCATCAGCATGCCTAGGAAACACGTTTACCAAAAATAGTAAACCATGATCCAACAAGGCAACAAGGACAGCTCCTTCAAAAAGCTCAACACAAGCACAGGTTTCTGGCTCCTTAAAACCAGATTGCTTGCCTTCACACCTTTAGGAAAAGAAAAAGGAGTTTGGCTAGAACTTAGAAATGGGTGATAATACAATGAACAATGAACACCACCTAAAATGAGCAATCTGGTTTTAAGGTGCCATAAACCCACCTCACACCTTTCACCACAGCAAAAGGAGCTTGGTTAAAAATGGGTGACAATATGGGACATTTCATGGATTTGTAAATTGCCTTGTTTTTCCCTTTAGCCCCTTCCCCAGTCCTCCTAGCTATTACTAACCTATGTCTAATCTAATTAAATTCATTATCTTGTTATATACTGTCCACTATGAAAATGTATAATATCACAAGTGAAATGGTGCCTCAAAGCTGCAGCTTCAGTGGAAGCCAACTTTTATTGAAAACAAGTTTGTTTTACCTGGCATTTTAAACATATTTTAATCACAGTCGATTCAAATACAAAATATTTCATTACAAATAACTATTACTTCACTTATCTAGTTATCTGAAATATTAAATTGGCAAGGTTTTTAACACAGTATTCTATTATTCCTATACTATGCTTATATATACTCTATATAGACAGTCACATACTATCAACATGGAGTTTGTCTGTCAGGGCCTGAAATAATGTTCCCAAAGTTCCCGATCATGGTGACCGTCAGTCATCACTTTCCCTGCTTTTTCAGGTTGGAAACCCTGCTTTTCCGCCGATCATAAGCAATTTCTTGCCTATTATTGATTGGCAGGCTTTCTGGCTTCCTTGTGTAGAAACGTAGGACAAAAGTAGGACTAGAATTTTAGGAAAAGTAGGAATAAAGTAGGGAAATGTGTAGAAAAGTAGGACAAAAGTAGGAGCTTTGGAGATGCAAATAACACAAAAATATACAAAATTGGCACCCTAGGATATATGTGGTAAGGGGGTAGACCATTAGTTATCTGACGGGGAAGTTGTGTGAATTTTTAGTGCTCAATATTTTTATGTACTCATTCATCTATGCATGATTTATTTCTCAAAACTTTTAAATTGCATCGGTATAAAAGCTGAGGCATCTGCTCTGCAGCTGCAACACAATTCAAATGCATGTATTGGGCTACACAATGCACCTATCCACAATGCACCTATCCACAATGCACCTATCCACAATGCACCTATCCACAATGCACCTATCCACAATGCACCTATCCACACTGCGGCAGGAGCATATATCAGGGCCATAGGAAGCTCTTTTCGATTGGGGGGGAGGGGGGGGGGGGCTGAAACCGAGGGCCGAAGGCCCAAGTAATTTTTAAATTTAGAGTCTCTGAAATGCCATTTCCTGGACTTTGGGGAAGATTGACAGAATTCTAATGGTCAGAAAACAGCGTTTTAGTATGTCGAAATTTACAATTTAGTAGTACTAAATGGGCGAAGGCGTATTTAATTAACCATATATTGGATAAGTTGCAGGAAAGTATGGGTAATATCTTCATTCTTTGCAGTTTGTCATGGATTAAATGATAAAGGTCTGCAAGATTTTGAAAAAAATATATTATTAGCAAATTATTGGGGGCTGCAGCCCCCCAGGCCCAGTTGCTACGGCCATGTATATATGATGCTTGATTAACTGGGGGGAGTTATACCCCACAGTTAATCAAGTTGCTACGGCCATGTATATATGATGCTTGATATACTGGGGAGAATATTTGGAATCTCTAGATCGTCGGAATTGGCACTTTCAGAGTCTTCATTAATTTATTGATTATGATTATAGAGATGCTATGAAATTTTATACTCGGAAAATGTACTTCTTCTCCTCCTGAGATCTTATCATCTGG